AAAAAAAAAAAAAAAAACAAAATTAAAAAAAAAATTCTAATTTATAACTAATTTCGACGAGTAAGTGAAATAATTTTATTAGGAGATTATACGGTACCGTTACGGAACCATTCCGTCGAGAATTTGTAACCGTTAGACCATCATGTAACCGTTAATTGGTTTCGTAACTAGGACTCTAGCATTTTCTAATTTTATTAATGGTGTTCATTACATTTTTATGAATTAGCCATCCACAGTGGGTAATTACATTTTTATAGTGTTAACATGTGCCCATCGTGAGTAGGGGAGCATTATCGATCATCCATACTTAATTTGGAAGATTCCAAGTACCCAACTAATTGATGGTTCGTGAAGCTACTCTCGTCGTCGTCCTGCCTTACCGTTAAATTTCACAGTACCGCAAAATATACACAACATTTGCACAGTTGCTTGGCGATTTCATGGATTATATGTGGCTTTCCTTCTTGATTGTTCTTTTACTTTCTGCCATGGCAGAAGCTTCTTCCTCTTCACTGTGTGCAGCAAACGGCAAGAAACTCTTTGACCCATTTTAACAAACACATTATCGGCATAATTTTTTTCAAGTAGCTGGCTGGAATTTCTTTTAACGATCGTTCGCGAGATTATCTTGGTCATTTATCTGTGAATTGAATTGCAGACGTGCCTGTAGTTAGGAATATCAGTGAGATGGATCAGCATAACTATGGCCGGCAGGGTTTATCTCACATCACCATTGCTGGTTCATTAATGCACGGCCTTAAAGAGGTGACAAAAAACTACAATTCTATTCATTTGTTTTCCATTGTTGGCTGAGTGTGAGCACGGTTTGTATTTCTGTATTGCCCATTTTTTGTTAGTTCTGTTCTGCAAAATATTGTGCTTTTGAATGGAGTGGTTTTATTGCAGGCTACTCTGAAGATAGTTGAGATTTGAGAACGAATTGCTTGCTAGTCGAAGGCTCGAAGCTCAAAGTTGAATGATTTATAGTGTGTTTGCTGAGTTTATCTTAAAACTGATTCATTTGTTTGTATAAATGTTGACCTATAGCAACTAAATCACCATACAAAGTTTAGATTTTGCTTAGACTTTGTAGATTGGAGGCAAAAATGGGTATGTGAAAATATAAAATTTTTATCAAAATACAAATGTCAGCAGAGCTGACAATCAATGTTTTAAAGATGCAAACACTCTTGGTGTATCGGTTTTGACAATTTTTCATCGTTGAGTGGATTTGCATTTTGGCAGGTAGAGGTATGGCTCCAGACATTTGCTCCTGGCGTTCATACACCAATTCATAGGCACTCGTGTGAGGAAATATTCGTGGTTGTTAAAGGGAGTGGAACTCTTTATCTTGCCTCTAATTCGCATAAAAATTATCCCGGCAGTCCTCAGGAGTTTCCTATTTTCCCGAACAGCACGTTTCACATCCCTGTCAATGATGCTCATCAGGTAATTTGGGCGCCTTCTCATGGTCTCTTGTCTCGGTTGGGATTAATAAAGATGTTTGTCTTGTTAAACCAGCATGGATACTTCTGTTAGTGATTAATCCTAAGGATTATACATATGAGTTGTACAGCATTCCAAGTTGAATAAAGAGAAAACGAACGGCTGAAAATATACTGCTGCATATATTGTTTTGCAATTTTTGAATGGGACATTATGTGGTGAAGCTTTATCTGCTGTGGGTAACATCACCTGTATAGAAGTTTTTCTTGATATTAAAGTATAATTTGCACATATGATTGACGAGAGATTTATTGATCAACTTATTTTGCTTTACTTTTTTGTCGACTAATACTTATCAGATAGCTCATTACTTCCTTAATTCCCGTGGAACAACGACCAAGAACTTCGAAATTTATTGTGGTAAATAAGTAAATACTAAAATTGGAATACGAATGAACACGAGGATCTGCAAGTTCTGGTTATGATATCTCGACCACCAGTCAAAGTGTAAGTAACTTTCATTGGTATAGTAATTCCTATTCTTTAAAAAAAAAAAATGTGGCAAGAGGATAGTTTTGTTTTACTTTATTTGAACTCAAAACGCCTTGAATGATATAAATGTTGATTTTCAGGTTCATATATAATGATTGGTATATGCCTCATACAGCTGCCGAACTGAAGTTCCCCTATTATTGGGATGAAAGGTTTTACCAAACATCTCTACCGAAAGACGAGCTTTAATCGTTGACCTTTCTAAACGAGCTCTTTTTTTTCCTTTACGTGACATCTCGTGATTGTATGTCGAATTTTGCATAACGGAAGTTATACGACACAAAGTTTCATTTTTCATTTTTCCATATCAGTTTCCTTCATGTTTTTTTATCATTGTCTTCCCCTCAAGAGCAGCCATGGTTTTATTAGGTGTGTTACAGTCTCAACAAACTATTTGTCACATTTGGGTAGAATGATATAAAATATGAGGGATATAGTACTGAGGCCTTAACCAGGACACGCTTTATACACAAGTTTTTAATATAAACAAAATAATTTTATATTATTTAATATTTATTTATTTTATTTATCAATTATTGTGGATATTTAACCGTATGACTATTCTATCAACCTCTCAAGTGAAGAAAAAAACTATTCATTTAGAACTTTAGTCTGAATTTAATTTGAGATCCGAAAAACGAACCAATTTTATTTATTTGGGGGCTTCAATATAAAATTTATCAAATTAGGACCGAATGATTTGAAATCATCAGTTGAAATTCATAAAAAGTAAAATATGCTTTATATTTTTTGTTTATATTAAAATACAAGTACAACACCCGTGTATTACACGGTGCTTGCTAATTTTTTTCTTAAAATCTAAAATTAATGAGAAAAAGTAGTTTGAAAATTTAAATACCTTTTATAAGAATATATATATTATTATATATTTATTATGACACCTTTTATTTGTGCAACTTACTTGTGTTATATTATGCTATTTTTTTTAACTTACAATATATAACTACATAACATATAAATATATCAATTGAGAAATAATTTTATTTTTTGAATGAATTTTAATAATTATTATTATTTTTTATTATTATAAAGATAAATATAATTTATTTATTTCATATATACAATATGAATGTCAAATCGAAGATCATCAAAAGATGATTAATTTGATATATTATATATGTAAAACCGATAAGAAATACAAAAGTTATCAACTTTTAAAATACATTTATAATTCAATAGCTTATTGAAAGAAACAAATCAAAATTCAAGGATATATTAGTCACTTAGTGCCTCACTATGTAGAATTACAAAGAATTAAAGGGTTATATTAGTAAAAGTGATATTAAAATACCGAAGTTAGCTAAATAATATTTATGGAATACCCGAACCTAGATTATTAATTATCAATATATCAATATTATTCAAACCTAATTACGAAGCATAATTATTCGCCAAATAGGATTCCGAAGCACCAGAAACAGCCATATAGGCTCAGCGCATTCGAGAATTATATATAGGGAGGATTATTATATATAGGGAGGATTTATATTTATAAGTTGTTTATTTTTTACAAGTAATATGACATACAAATTTTCTTATGTTTTTTTATTGTTTTAAGTTTTTATTTATGATTCTTTTTATATACTTTCCCCTTCGGATGGGGGATTCTAACGGTATGAATCTCTGCTTTGGAAATAGGGAATAGGGAAAGGGCTTCAACTAGCTACCTCGGGTCGGAGGCAAGGGAGTTCGGATTCCAAGTTGGGTCTGTCAATCTGCCCGTCTTGCTTGAGGCCAAGGGAATTTACTGACTTTGCCGACCTACTCTCTTTCCAACCGTACCTTCGATATGGAACTCTGACGTTTACAACTCTTTGATATACTCCTAGTGGGTGGTGTGGTATTCGTGGGTCACATTGAGAAAGTCCACACGAGAGATAAGGATTGTTGTCGGAATCAAGGCAGTGCTTTCTTTCGAGATAATCTTCTCTTTTCGTCTATTCTTTGAGTGCGGTAAGCGATAAAGGTAAGTTCGACGATTGCTTTTCGGCTGAATATGAAGCTTCCCAGCTCGCTTCAAAGAGAGTTCCCTTCCTCTCTAGAAAGAAGTAGAAGGTCTCGGCTGTCTGATCCCTAGTCTTAGCTCTTGCTCCTCCCGGTACTTTCTTTTCCAGTTTCAAAAGGGGGTTTTCTTATAGAAAGGTGGTCATAGAATCTCATTCCTTGCCTAAGGTCAAATTACTGCTATGAAATGGGAAGGATGATGTATGTTTTACAATTATGTTCAAAATATAAATTGATGGTTAAAATATTTCAAGCTCCGAATTGATAAATTTATAATTTCTCATCTTTCAAATTTTCAAATTATATATCGATAGAAATTATCTTTCAGGTCCGAATCGATAATCGACTCATTTTTCAAGACTCAGACTCATAAAACTTCATTATTTTTGTAACAATTTTTCTAACCTACAAAACACGTGTTATAATGATTGTGGATTCTAATTCTCGAGTTAATTATTTGAACAGTGACTGAGAAGACAACCGAGTTTACATTATTAATAAAAGTTGTTCGAATCCCAATCCATATTGATATCATATATTGAGCAGTGCATAATACAACGATTTTCAATTAAGATAATTTCTTTATTAGTTAAGTAAAAATATTGATTATGAAAATAAATAATTAGTATAATTTATGTCTTTTACTAACTCGAGATTCCGAGGAGTCGAGCCCTCGAGATTCTACCGAAGCACTCACTCGTCCTTCAGCAGATTCTAGAAGTCAGGTAGAGAAGTCTATCCAATACATCTTTCTCTATAATCATTGTGGTATTTTGTTTGTATTTAGGTGCATGAATAATGTGGTTCCTTTCTTTTGCTGCGAGCGGATTAAATTTTTTGCGCTTATAATTTGAAAACACTGATTCAATATTTTTTTAAAACTCTTACTAACTTTTTTTTTTTTCGAAAACACTTTAACTTTAAATGTGGGATACTACTTAACTTTATTCTATATCTCTATATCTCTTTTAAACTATCATGCATGCAACCAGGTAAAATTCATTCTAGAATTAAGACCATGAAAAATACTGGATTTTAACATGCATAGTCTGAAATCTGAAATTTGAAACTCAATTCGAGAATGCAGAAGCAAATACAAGTTAAAAAATCACAAACAAGCATCACCAAACATAAATAATCCAAACATGTTCAATTATACTACATGACATACTATAACAAAATATCCTGAAGCTAGACCACCACCACATATCAGCTCACGCGTCACGCAAGACTCCGTCACCTAAAAAATGGTTAGTGGGGGGCGTGAGCATAAAGAATCCACGTGCTCCGCCAGAACCGACACTGAATATTCATCACATTTAATAACAAATCATGACATCGACATATATATAAATACATCGGCTACTTGAGACTCTCGGACTATACAGTACTTATGTGCACACCCTGGGGGGTCTCCTCCCACAGAAATCCAAGAAAGGAACTAATCACCACATCTGAACGCTGGACTTAGGCTGAGCACTATGCACCACACATCCAAGTCATAACTGAAATATGAAATCTTGACCAAGACGGGATCACTCATCCGTCTCGGTCCTCAATCTATTACACACATACCTCAAACAGTATAAGCAATTAAAAGTAATGAGATACACAATACAAGGTCCCTACTTGGAAGCTGGTGCAAATGCAAATGCTGAAACTGAAATGGGTAGCTGAAGGAGGTTCGACTCTCCTCAAGCTACAAAATATTTGAGCAAAATATTCTAAGTACTAAGCTCAATCTGAAAAATTGAAATCTTAATCTCTGATGTTACTAGGTTCACTCGCTGGATTTTAAAATCATTTAATCTCATTTTAGCAAATTTACAAGCTAATTTGAAAAATTACTGTCTTGTGTCTTGAGGCTTTCTAGAGTTATCTGAAAATTTCTAAGTTCGGGAACTAAATTCTAACTTGACATTAATTTGACTTGGTTCGAAAAAATACTGAAATCTCGGTTCACGCTCAAACCGATGTTTCGAACTGAAAATTCCCGTATCGTCTGGACTGATTCGGCTGAACTAGAAATTTCTCGAACCGTCCAGACTGCCCGGACCGGTTCAAATGGACTGGACCGATGGCTCACTCAGAACTGACTGGTCACTCATTGGCTAAGTGCAGCTCGACTCAACTATGGTCTGAGTTCGGCGTAGCAACTCACGGGCACGCACGAACACAGCTGACACGGCTTTGCCGACGCACAAGTTTTAAACGGTGACACGGTCACTGACGCATGGACATGCTTGGACCACAACTAACGGAAACGGCGCGTTGACGGGTAGGTTGAACCAACACACAGGCGTTGGGCAGAGCGCAGGGGCGCGACTCGGTGCACGAGCAGGCACTCGGTGGCTCGGCTCCAACTATGGGACGAGAGTGGGACACGTGTGTGGGGCATCGATACTCGTTGAGGATATGCGCTAATGCACGCCGGTTGGTTGGTTACGCTCGCTACGAGGTACACGACCTCGGTAGCCCTCTTAAGCTCGGTTATGGTCTCGCCGGCGACTCACCGGCCGAACGACCATATCACGACAATGCAAGGACTCATTAATTCTAAAGTCATTAGATGGTACTAGGGTTTGGTGGATTTCACCCCAATGTAAAATTGCACGGTGTTCGGAAACGGGCAAAACTAAGGTTCTAGTTCTCCGAGCAACCTAACTCTTTTTAAGCCAAAACTTTAATCGTAAGCTCATCATATAAGGAATTTACATCCAACAACTCCACCTAAATCACAACCATAACAATTTCTAAAAGTATCACAAATTAAGGCTAGAGTCCCAAATATTAAACCATATCAAACAATCAAAAATCACAAAAGTTTAACACAGCAACATCAACATATATATGATTTTTGTTAAAATGATAACAACCAAATAAAGTCTATAACTCAATCAACTAAAATCAGGCATTATCGATCTAGATTCAAAAATTCAATTCGCATAACAAACGAACTCCAAAATTCACTAAATTTTAACCTAAGCCTCAGGAACATTTTGGAAGATTTATAAAGTTAGAATCACGATTTTATCACTTATCTAACTCGAGATATAAAAGTCATGCCTTTAAGCTCATAAAATCTAGATAAATTCATATCTCACTCAAATTCATCAATTACTATTTTTAAAATAAACTACAATTTATGTCTAAGCCAATGAAGCATGGGTTTTAGCATTATACCCCAAAATGAACTCAAATCAAATATCGAACGATGAACTAGGTTAGGGATCGACAAGGCTGCTTGGATCTGGCCGGATCTGATGCTGGACGGGCTGGATCTGCTCGCTGGGCCACGGAACGTGTGCGTACGAAAGTTTCTGGGCCTACTCGGCGTACGAAGGAGGGCATCTCGCGCGCACGGACGGCGGTCGAGCTGGGTTGCGACGCGTACGGACGACAAGCTGCTCGGGTTTGGAACAGCGGGGCTGGTCTCGTGTAGATGTGCTCGGACGAGGGCTCAAAGGGTGTGTACAGACTCGAGCTCGGCTTGCCGGCGTGGACGACGACTCAAGCAGCGACTGAAGGAGGGATGGACGGCGTGAGCTCGGGCTTGCGTACATGCGGGCCAAGGTGGTGCGACGACGTGGCTAGGGTTGGTCCGCCGGTGGCTCGTCGTGGGCTCGGAGGGTGAGTTCGGGCTCGTGAACCGTAGCTCGGATGAGGCTCGATTTGTGTGTCTAATGACTTATGATATATGCTAGATCTAGGGTTTGATGGGAGTTGTTGGGAAAATGATGAATGTGTGCTAAGGGTAGGATATATATATATGGTAGTGAGAGGGATTTTGGACTTGGGCTTGTATTTTCAAGATACTACACTTGGGTCAAATAATTAAAGCTCGATTTACGATTGGGCCGGATTTAAAATAAATGATGGACTCGGATATGAACGGGCCGAATTAATAACATGGCTCGAATTTTAGAAATTAACCGGCCATGTCTAATGGGTTCAAAATTTAAAATGACGGCTCGATTATATGGGCTTGAAGTATTGGGTCTGATTCGATTTGATGATCCGGGCCGAGGTTCGGCTCATCCGGGCTTCGCCCCAACTTAAATAAAATTCTAATTTTTCCAAAGCTCAGTTTCATTTTTAAAAATAAAATTGATACTTGGGCTAATTAAATTCTTTTTATCAAATTAAAAATCGAATAAATTCTCCATTACTTAGATTAGAAATAAATACTCGATTTAATGCAAATAATATTAAATAAATGCATCAAATACGGAAATTTGCTATTTATGGAAATAAAGTCGAGCTCCATAAGTACTAAAAATATTCGGGGCATTACAAAAAGATTGTAGAAAATTACAAAAAATTATAAAAAATACTCCATAAAATTATATTTCAAATTAAATAATAATAACAAAAAAAATTGTTTTATTGTTTAAGTACTTTATAGAAAAAGATATATTATTTATATTAAATTGTCATCGTCATTTACACGGCTTACCATCTTATATTATGTGATCGGTGTGTCATACTCACATAACGTGGGTCACTAGAACTCACAAGGCTTTAGCCTCTTTCTTTGTACTCAAAAAAAAA